TTATGCATTAGTGCAGTTTAATTGCATAATCTTCAAAAAGTCAGGCAAGTCACTTGTGAACCCGTCTTTGCCCAGATAGTCATTGCCAGGACCTGACTATGCACTAAACTCGAGAAACAACATTTTGAATGTATTTGTTACATGTGCAGACATTATTGCCTGAAAACTAAACTATACAACATTCAAAGCCTTGGTTCTGGGTTATGGACTATGTAGTTTACATGTTCTTTACGTTGGCCCTGGTCTATGAGCTTTCACCTTCCACTGTGTACAACATACAGAAGGGGGATTGGGTGAATTTGTAAGTATTGTCTGTGTGAAGGTCATGTGATTGACACTTCCTTTGTAAACACAGTTTCACCAACTGCTCCTATCTGTCAATATATAAAAAAAAGAAGTTACATGACGGGTAAAAGTTTTGGATTTAAATTTGAACCAACAACTCAATCATATGCTACCTGACAGGTCTGATTCAATTACAAATATTTTTGCTTTTACTTATTTACTTTGCACCACTGTCTAAGGAAATCCTGGATTATACATCATGGATAATTCTGTTTTCAGGATTAGCTGCAGGAAGAGGTGGAGTAGAATGCAGAACATACAGGAAGAGTGGGGAAGTCCAGTTGTAGTAGTGCTGACTTGTACTGTTTTTTTTCTTTTCAGATTGAAGAAAACGTGTTCAATTTTGTTTGATACTGCTTGATAAACTCATTAACCTTAGAAAAGGCACAAGAAATTCTACGTTTTTTTTGATAATGTGGTGTACAGTAAATCAACATGTATTAGTAATGAGTTTCAACCATTAAACATCCATGCCTGCTGTTTTATCATTTTTTTCTTTTTAGATTCAAAAATAGCCAAAGGAATGAAGTTGTTTGCATAATTCAAATGTTTATTTCCTATAAATTCAGGTCCTCCATATTCCATCAGTTAAGAAAATATAATACTATCATATATGTATATTATCCTTCAGAATGGTCTTCTGAATAGAAACTCTCATGCTCATATAAAGTGGTTTCTAAAGAAAAGCCACAAACTCTGCACACTTCCTTGTGACAACCCAAAAGTAAAACACCAAACATTACCAAACACTTGCTCAGATACAGCTCACTGACACTGTGTTGCATATTTAATGTACACGAAAGTCCAATAATAGATGGTGGAAATATAAGTACTAACTTTCTTTTTTTTTAAAGAATGTCTATTTTAATAAATCAAAGTTGTTCTTAATCTACAGAAGAAGTAGATCAATAGGAAAATGGAACTACAGTACAATCATTGTAGATCTTAGGTACAACGGCTGAAGAGTTTTTTTCATTTTCTTTCCCACTGAAACCATGAGTAATCAGTGAAGAAATCCAAACTTAGCCATCTGCTGAAACTGCTGAAGACTGAAAACTTGACAGCTTTAAAACGGGACCAAAAATCTCAACAAAACAACTGAGTCAAACCAAATTTAAGACAAACCTAAGGCTAAAAACCGCAATTATTACACACAAAAATAAGCTGAACCAAAGAGTGCCGAGACTCGATTAGGTAACCAGCACAGCTTAACTACTCAAGTAGTAGCAAAGTAGTTTAGCTGTACTTGTTACATGCATATATTCAGAAAGTGGAGATACTTGTTATATAGAATTAAGGAGGAGAAAAAAAATCTAATTCCAGGACTGTTAGATTGGGATTCTTTTCCTGTTCTTACATCTGATCTGCTTCAGTATGTTACATCTGTGCTAGAACCTTCAGCGATAGCAGACAATTTCTAGAAAAGTTGGGAACATATGCACTCTTAAAATCTCAATTAAAGCTCATTGAGGAAAATGTGCAAAGCTTTTCAAGGATGTGCTACACATTGAGGAAGTGCAGTTCAGATGGCTATGATACTGGGGCAAAAAAAGGACAAATAACTGGACAAAAAGAGGACACACTGAGGAAAAAAGGCTCAACAAATGAAGGGTAGGGAGGAATCTGGGGTCCCAAATCGTTGGGAGGGTCGCAAATGTGTACAATACATGAAAAATAAAGAAATTCAATTAATATGAACGAAATTACATCTTTAAATCATAGTCAATGTCAGTGCTCAGACGTTTTTGGAAAACCCAGGTAGAGATCAGGAAAAGCTGAACATGAATATTCTTCGCTCTCAGTTAAGACTTGCAACTTGCAACAAACATAGTCAACACATGTTAAGAACTTTCTTTCTTTCTTTTTTACAGACAGAACAAAAGAAAAGTGCATAATCAATAAGAACATAAAAGGGCACTTTGTCATTCGGTGCTATGTTTTGTTTTACTCCATAAATACTGCTATAGCACAGCCCCTATCCAAGGCCCAGAAAAACAGATTTGTCCATGTTCCCCCATTGGAACTGACGACAAAGGTATGAATGCATAATAGAAAGGTTATTATTGTCACTGTGATTCGCCTTATGCCACTGCTGTGTAACTACAATGCCTCCAGGTGTTACTCTTAAGTATTGCTAGTGGAATTTTGGAAGCACATCAATTTTTCTGAACCAACAAAGCAATACCAAACATGAGGGAATCAACTACAGTGGCTCTGGCCTGCCGCAAACATGTGAAAAGTAGACTCTAAGTATGCTACATTGCACATAAAAGTGGTTAGAAAAAGAAGTGGATGGAATGTTTCAGTCTATGAAAGTAACGCTGCAGTGTTTACCTTCATATTTTGGATGAGATTGTGCCTATATGTGCGGTGCTAATGCAGAAACTGTTTAGGATCTATATAGTTTAAACAAAGAGAATATTGTGCAGTGGCAACACAGACATGTTGGTTATGATCACACAGTACTGTGGGTAAGAAAATTTGAGGATGATGTGGTTCAACTTAGATTGGGTTCTCCTAACTGTTGTCAAACACTGAGTTTTATGAAGGTCTCCCTTTTAAAAAGCTCTAAATACCTTCACAAGTGTATTGCAACATGAATAGGCACTGATGTTTAACCCAGAACTGGAAAAAACTATTTAACCACTGTGCAACACAACTGGTGAGATGGAGGTGTGAGTTACTTTGCAACTGCCTAGTTGTGTTTGAAGACAACTGCATTTATTTGTATTTTCCTACCTACATTACTCGGCACACTCTACTCAATGCTACTCAATGTTTGAAATCTGCTGCAGCTTTCCTTTTAATTTTTATACAAAAATTCTTTTGATTATGGATATTGTTTTTATGTAAAAATCAACACCACCAGCTTTACCAAAGACACGACTAGAACAGAGGGAATGATAGTCTGTAAACTCTGATGTTGATATGATGCTGTTTTGACCCAATGTAAACAAACAGACACCCAGGTCACAGAGTCAGTAATATAGTGGTGAAAGAAAAGAACTTGTGGGATTGTACTTGGATCACCATGGATACATCACAGCTAGCATCTTCTGATAATGTTCATTAAAATTAGACTAATTAGACGGATGATGATAATCTTGAAATATAGACTAATTCTAGAGATAATGATGTAATAAATAAGTTTCCAAAAGGCCATCTGGGCCTCAGATGGTTTGATAAATTTGATCACTTTAGAAGAGTCAGTAAAAGCTGAGAAAACGTATGATAGTAAATGAAATCCAAACGTCCGGAAAAGAAACTGTAAAAAAAAAAAAAAAAAAGTAACAGAGGCTACTGTGGAGTGGCGGCATAAGGTAGCCATGCGTTTTTGTTGATCCCAGTAAATAATCACAGGACATACCAGAAAGAAGGTAGGAAGGAGAAAATGGAGTGGGACAAAAGTGGTGGATATCAGAGTTTGCTCTGTCCAGTTCTGTCCAGTGGGGGACACACAGTTAAGGCGATAGTGGATGCCAACACTCTGGTCTCCTCACAGGAGTGTACAGCGGAAGAAACTGCTCTTCTTGGGCTGTTCTGTAATCTTTACTCCTTGACTACTGCCCTGAGGATTATTGCCCTCCTGTAAAACACAAGCAGGACAAAAAAAATCCCCAATGACACACAATGTTACAAACTATGAATAAAATATGAATTAATGACGAGTTTTTATGTTCTGTGATCTCACCAGCTTCTTGTCCATTTTTGCTTTGATGTCTCTGGCCAGGGTTAGGAAGGCCTGTACATAAGAACAAATAAACTCTCTGATACCAACTTAGGACAATGGACCAGAAAAGAAAAAAAATGCATGATGATGAAGCAGTGTGCCCATTTGCAATCAATATGTTCTGTGAAACACCATTATTATTAATATGTGGCAAAGTTCTTATAATCTGACAATTTCTCTCTCTCTCTCCAGGTCTATGCCAGGTTTGCATATGGAGCCTTTTGAGGTGTACCCCATTGCATGAAAAGGAGGTTATGTGCACTAAAAGGAAGAGCGAGAAGAAGACAATAAAATAAAAATAAACAAATAACAGATATAGAGGAACTAGGGAAAATAATTCTCCGTTCACCTGCCACACCGTATTTAATGGCTGCACAGACCGATGGTGTGCTTCCCCTGTTTTGACCCCTTGCTGAGCAGGAACCTTATCAATACCTCTTCCACAGAGTGTTTTTTAGTGTCTGAGGAACTGACGTCTGAACTAATGGAGTCTTAACAACCATGCCAAACGTGAGGCGCGCAAGGATGTATGTGGGCAATGACATTAACAATGGATGTAGCTGTTTACGTACGGAAAGGGAGCATAAATGAGCTTTTAGGCATAAAAGCTGGGTTAGAACCTGTACATACAAAGAACTCTCTACTCACTGAGCCACAACAACATTGAAGTTCTAATTCTATACTCACATTTTCAACATTGATGTTTGCCTTCGCACTGGTCTCCATGAACTTGATACCGTACTCCAGTGCCAGCTGAAAGCATGAAAACAGAGGCAGGATTTGTGCCAGTGAAGAGTAAAGACAATGTTCACAAAGACACTACAGTTCAAGTGAACTTTTCTCAACATTCTCAGGGAATTCCTTTGTGATGGTTCATCAACTCACCTTTTCTCCTCTGTCTTTGGACACCTGTCGTTTATCATTAACATCACATTTGTTCCCAAGAACCATCCTCTCCACGTCGGCAGATGCATGCTGTGAAGGAAACAAATAAATATAAAGGTCAAAGGTAAAAATGAACAACATTGTATTGAAGATTAAGTGATTTCCAGCTTATTACGTGACAAACAGGAACATTTATATTTCACAGCAATAAACAGGCTAAAGAAAACATTCAGCATCTTATATTGACTAAAGTATTTATAGTATATCTAAGTATACACAAACATTATCTGTATAGATTGTGTAAATGGTTAATTATGTATTAATCCACAGGTTTTCCAAAGTGAGGGAACCCACTTAGAGGGTGTAGAGGGCAAACAGTTTTAGGGTGAGAATGAGGAAAGTCTTTTAGAGTGGCACATAGTAGGTCTCTTAGTAAAATAATAAAAAAAAAAAGAAAAGAGAAATTAGCCTCAACTAGTCAGAACTTCAGAAAGCCTCGACCTTCACATTTACCTCTTCTATATTCCTTATCCAGTTCTTGATGTTGTCGAAGGACTTCTCGTTGGTTATGTCATACACTAGCATGATGCCCTGTAAAGTTTACAGAAGAAAAATAACTGAGCAGCCAACAATAATTAGGTCACTTCTCCCCACTTATCCTCATATAGATGGACTTAGAGGAGCACGAGTCAATGATGGATCACATGATAGTGCAGCTTCATGTGAACTGTGGCACTCTAATACACAAGGTTAAAAAATACCAGTTGCTAAAAATACACACACAACTTGTTTAAAAGAAGAGAATGCAAATGTTTACAATGATGATATCTATAATTTTTCCATATAAGAATAGACTTAGGACAAACAGTGAAAGTCACACAATGTACAAAAGCTTTTAACTTCTCACATAACATCTTGGTTTATGTTCTTTTGTCATGGTATTTTACTAAATTAAATGTTACATGTAGTTTTGTCTATTATTTTGAAACACTGCAATAACTTACACTCACTCTTCACATTCTCTACGCTATAAGGCTGAGGATGCAACAACTTACCATAGCTCCTCTGTAGTAGGCTGTGGTTATA